ACATTGTTATTAGCACTACAGATTTGATAAGCTTTCCTCTAACAGGAAATATAAATTATAGAAAATAAGGCTTGTTATTGTATGTCATGGGTGTCTACTCTTAAAATATGTTGTGGTTTAAAAATTGGAGGACTTGCCTCTCAGAGTCTTTAAAGTCTTATAACATTTCTCGAGTCTCTCTGTGTGTATATCTATATTATAATACATACGTTTCCATGGATTAATCAAAATCAGACTACCTCAAACAGTTTTATAGATAGAAACATGTTCTAAGTAGGCCTGATGTCACTGTTACTGTATCAGGTGAAGGCAGACTCGGCATCTTGAGGGAGGAAGTAATGAGGCCTGGGAGCCTGCCTCTGAAGTTCTGCTTACACCATCCTGCAAGATAAAATGCTAACATTTTAGACCTTGAAGCTCCCAGGATAGGATGAGACATTTTCATGTGAACATGCAACCGAGGTGTCCTGAAGGTTTATAAAGAGAATGACACCGTGGTGATCATGTGACTGCCTTCACAGGTACTGTGGCTGAAAATGGAGAACTGGAAAGTGTTAATATTAATATTGGCTTGTTCGTTGTTTTTTGAGGCAAGTTCTCACTGTGTAGCACAGGTCAGCCTACAGCTCACTGTGCAGCTTAGGACTGCCTCAGCCTTGTAGCATTCTCATGCTTTGGCCTTCTGAATGCTAGGATTATATGTATATGATGCCATGCAGAACTGGTATGTTAAAAGATAAATTTCTTCTAATTGCTGGCTTTGTGGCCAAGATTCTAACTAGAACCAGAAAATAAGCTGGCTTATCCAGAAGATTAAATTAAAAATTTGGAATCATTGAAGTAGAGTCTAAGCCACAGCAGATATGACTTTAAAGGGTGGACCCTGAAAGCAGGCTCCACCTCAGCCAGAAACCAGAGCTACTGTAACTTTGCCATTTGAGTCAGGTTAGTGAAAATGTAACAGAGTGCTTAAAAGAAAGGTCTAACACTCAGAAAACCTGGACTTGAATTCTGATATCACCTCTAATTTTGTGGCATTTGTATATCATGCAAAGTTCCATGTTTCAGGAAAATGAGGATTTTACATTCCTTCCCAGAGTGTGTAAGGATTGAGTTGATTCCTGTAGACCCCAACAACAGAGCTTAACAGGCAGTAAATTTTAATTCTAAATGGATGTTACAATAATAACCATGGTATATACCAGCTAAATTATTGTTGCTATGCCTATTGCTTCTCCAGAGTAAAGAACACGGGATAATTGCATGGAGCACATGGCATGCCGTGCTCCTCAAGGCAGCTTTTAATTACTGAGCCATGTTCTTGAATGACATTAACTAATGAGAACATACTCAGCGCCTCAGCCCGGGTGCTCTGCTCTTGTTGGATGGACCAGTGCCCCAAGCACTGCCTGCTGTGTCTCTCTCCAGTGGCTACAGGGAAACTCCTACAGAAGTTCTGACAGGTCATGGAAACCACAGGCCTGAAGTCAGGCCCTGTTAGCAGACTATATGACCTACATTAGGCCCCAGAATTGCTTATTTATATGCTGTTGAAGGCTAGTAGCTCTGTGGCCTTTAAAATTCCTCAGGAAGATGTAAGGAACAGACTATGCAGACCATGTAGAATGAGGGATAATCTTAAAAAGCCGGAGCTCAAGTTTTCTGTCTTGGAATTCCATATGCATTTGATGAATGGTAATTAAGTTTTGGCTTCTTTGGGGGTAAATACCCAGGAGAGGTGTCATATAGCTGGGCCATATGACAGGTCTGATTTTAGTTTTCTGAGAAACATTCATACTGACTACCATAGAAGCTGAACTAGTCAACATTCCTACAGGTATCGTAGCACACCAATAGTGTCTACAACTTCCTCAGCATTTACTGTTGTTTTCTTGGTGATAGCTGTCCTGGACTGGGGTAAGATGGAATCATAACGTTGTTTTCACCAGCATTTCTCTGGCTAGTGGTACTAAATGAGTTTTTTTTATTTCTTGGCTATTTGTACTTTTAAAAATTGTCCATTTTATTAGCTCATTTGTTACCTGAGTTACATAGATTTCTTTTGGTGCTTGTGTGTGTGTGTGTGTGTGTGTGTGTGTGGTATGTGATGTGTATGTGTATGTGTCTGTGTGTGTATGTATGTCTGAGGTGTGTGTGTGTATCTGTGATGTGTGGTATGTGGTGTGTGTGTGTGTGTGTTGGTGTGGTGTGTCTGTGTGTATCTGTGTGTGTGTTGTGTGTGTAGTGTATATGTGGTGTGTGTCTGTGATATATGGTATGTGATGTGTATGCATGTGTGTCTCTGTGTGTGTGTGTGTCTGTGATGTGTGGTATGTGATATATATGCATGGTGTGTGTATCTATGTGGGTATGTATATGTAGATGTGATGTGGTGTGTGTATCTGTATTGTGTGTAGGGTATATATGTGGTCTGTGTGTGTGTGTGTTCTCTGTATCACAGAGATACTTGCACATTACTAGAAATTATACTATGAAACCACCCTAGGTGTCCATTAATAGAAGAATGGGGAAAGAAAATACCATTTATAAACACGATGGACTTCTTCCAACAAATCTAGAAGAGGGAAGTTATGATGTTTGCAGTGAAATGGATGTGATAGATGATAGTCACCCTAAATGAATTAAGTCAGTCCCTGACAATAAGAAGAGTTCGGCTTTTCTCTTCATTTTTGGTCCTAGATGGTGGAAAAACAAAACCATGTATGTACAGAAGACATAAAAACAGAAGCAAGACTATCAGGTAGAACACAGGGCAGCAGTGGAAGTGGAGGTTAGATAAGGAGGGAAAATAGAGGGTCTAAGACTGTACCTAAAGCACTTTAGGTCCTTGCATGAAATTTGCCTTTGTAGCTAAGTTTAATAAGCATTTAAAAGACAGATTATAGGTTTAAAAAACTAAAATAAAGAAACTTTGCTTAGATGATGAACTCAAATGTTCCTTCAGCTGCAGTTACTTTGTATGTGCTGAGATGTCTATAAAATTGTTCACTGAACCAAAGATATAGAAGTAAATCTATGGATAAAGGCATTGCATTCCAGACCTGAGGACACCAAATAGCAGGAAGAAAAGTATGAAGTCACACAGCACTGCAGCGTGAGGCTTTTCCACACTTGAGACACAGCTGAGGGGACTTCTGCTGCAGGCCTCTCACCTCAGCGCTGTGAGGCAGCCTTTGTGTGGAGAGCACAAGGGCTTCCCGCTAACTCTGTGGATAAGAAGCACAACTCTAATAGGAATATTACCTGCCTGCTCGCAACAGTTCTTAAGTGCCATGTGCTGTAGCAATCCTCTTGCTAGTTAGTAATTTCTGAAAATATCCTTTTAAATTACATGATTACAATTACGATGCTATGTTACTGTTAGAGGTAGATGGGAAATCGAACTCGGAAACACTTAGATCAATTGATTTGAAGAATACGTGAGGGAAATAAAGTCAGCAATTTCTATCTGGACAGGAAACCTGTGCTGATTAAGGAGTCAATAGGATATGAAAATAATTTGGATTAGCCAAATGTTAAGGCCTCATTTTCAACTTTATGAGAGTAAAAAAAGTGCATGCTTATAAACACATGCACACAAATGCCCACAAAAAGATTGTAATATCTCTTTATATGTCATTTTGATAGTGATTAATATATGACAAGAACTTGACACCCCTTGCCAGCTTCACATATGCTTTGAGCTGAAGACTACCCGTGAGATTCATTATCCATCCTGTTTCCTCTGCATTCAGTGTGAGTGTGTGAGTGTGTGAGTGTGTGAGTGTGAGTGTGTGTGTGTGTGTGTGTGTGTGTGTGGTAATTTAGGTCTACTCTTCATAGTGGCACTGCTGTAGAATGTTAGTGTGGGGCCATATCACCTATTAACACTTCAGCATGGAAGACTCCATCATTATTTCCAGAGAGGTGAAACTTGGTTAGTGACTTGGGGAACAGGAACAATTCTGTGGACAGAAATCAGAAAGGCCCACAGCGTGAAGGAAAAAGGTTCATCCACATGGAGCCAAGATGGGAGATGTCAGGAGCCAGGAGATCCTATTGAATCCAGCAAAGATGGAGATATTGACCAAAGGTTGTCCTGTGGAGGGGTAATGAGGACAGCAAGGTCTGTCCTCTCAGGAGTTAGCTCAGTGTGTTGTCTATAATCCATCTCCAGCAGATGTCGGCAGAATCAAATTATTTTTGTCCTAGCAGGAGTTGAGCAAGAGTAAAGAGTTAATTTGTTAATATGTTTTTAGACAGTAAATGTATTTTTGTATGACTTATTTTTCTAAAAACCAGGTTTCTCAAGGAAACATGATTTTGTGCTCTAATTTCACTTAGAAAATACATTTCACTTCAAAATGATTATTTTGAAGGGAAATCAGTTACATATAGAGAACAAATCATTCTTCCTTTAATAAGACATTTCCAATTATAGCTGTTGAATAACAAATCTGCTGTGAGAAGCGGGGTTTTTCAGTGTTCCATATGCACAGCTCTGATTAGGAGAAGGGAAAGATACCTATCTCCTGCAAATGGTGAATTCCACCCAGTAAGTGGAAGGGGGAGGTGCATTTTATTCTGACAGTTGTTTTTTAATTATAAAAGCTTTGACTAGCCCATGTTTGGAGAAAATATTCTTTTAAAAATATTTTTTAGCCTTTACTCTCCATCTTTTATAGTGACCATTATTTCAAAAATCCAAAAGGACTTTACTCACTCTTCGAAACAGTTTGCATCGGCTGCAGAGAACTTGATAAGCATCCTTGCCACATTTCCATCCAGGCTTTGCCCACACCTGCTGTTCCAGAATAAGCCTACAAATATTACAATGTCTTTATAAAGCAAGACCTAAAGATAACAATTGGCCCAGGAGACATTGTTTACTTACATTAGTATTTCAAGAATTGTATCTATAGATTTTGTTGTTTTTAAAAATAGCTTCATATCAACTATATTACAGCATTTAAATTAACTGTTTCCTATTCAATTTCCAGGGCTACTGCAACACACAGGGGCCAGGTGATTTTCAAAGACGCATTAGCCCAGCAGTTGTGTGAACAAGGAGGTAAGTTTATCCTTGACTTGCTTATGTTAGTTGTGTCTTCATTATTTATGGCAGGTCCTCTGTCTTACATACTGAGCTACCATTTCATTAATGTTACTTTATCATGGTGTTTTAAAATTGAGTTGTTGACTAGTTCATATCTCTAGTCATTATTTATTCCTTGATAAAGCTAGCAGACTTCTGAACATATTCTCTGCGAATGAAAGAACCAAAAGAGATTTTATAATTTTATAATGGTTTTTTCTGAGCCACTTTTAGTTGTCCTAGACGTGACAAATTTTAATAGTAATTGTAAAATTATACAAAAATTCATTCTCTTTAATTCACCACTGAAGCTTCACGTCAAACGTGATTCTGATTATTACTTTGTACTCTAATATCTCTGATTTTGCTTTAGTTGGTCACATCACGAGTTGATTATATACCTACATCTGTAGATAGACATAATCAGTATGGTTGTACCTAAGTAGTGTGGTATTTGATAAATTGTTACTGTCAAAAATCTAATTATTTTCTTACAAATTCTTCACTCATAAAACTCCCTTCCACAATTTCAAAAACCTATGATTCATATTCTTTGGTTAAATTAACTTTTCTTCTATGAGTATGCAGGCACAAGAATTCTATTACAGTATAAATTTCTTCTATGTTATGAAAATATTTACTGAAAATATAGAATACCATAAAGCAAGGAATATCAACATTCTGAAAAATACATAATATTAAAAAAGATATGTTCAATTCACATTTACTAGTCCTTAAAACTAAATTTTCTTAAACCTTACAAATTCAAGTCTTTTGCATTTTAATTGGATTGGACTATTTAAAATAAAATGAAAAGCTAAGAAAATTAATACAAAAATTCTCAGTGAGTGAGGGTAAACACAATCTTATATGATAGTATTTATATGCACACAATTTTCCATTAATTAATTAATTAATTAATTAATTAATTCACTTTACATCCCCATTGTAACCCCCTCCAACTTCTCCTTCCATCCCCAACCTCCCACCCCCCCTCTCCCATTCCCTTCTCCCCTTCTCCTTAGAAAAGAGGAGCACCCCCTCCCCTGGTACCAACTACCCTAGCACATCAAATTCTTACCAGGACTAAGCACATCTTCTACTGAGGCCAGATAAGGCAAGCCAGGTAGGAGAAAGGGATCCAAAGGCAGGCAACTAAGTCCAAGTCAGAGACAGCCCCAAGACAATTGTTGGGGTACCTACATAAAGACCAAGCTGCACATCTGCTACATATTCAAACTCCATTTCCCCTGGTGCTAGGACTCTCAGCTGAGTCATCCCCATATCCTCCCAGGTCTCAGGCTTGTCCCAGAGATGCCCCCAACTGATTTCCCTTCTTTCTCCCACCTCTCTCACCTAACACCTCCAGTCTCCCCACACCTAATCCCCACCCCCTCTCCAATTCAGTTCTGTCTCTCTATCCAGTTCCAATGTCTATTTTATTTCCACTTCTGAGCAAGATTCACACATCCTCCCTTGAGTTCTTCTTGCTTCTTTGGGTCTATGGATTGTAGCACGGTTATCCTGTGCTTTATGGCTAATATCCACTTATAAGTGAGTACTTACCATGTGTGTCTTTCTAGATCTGGTTTACTCAGGATATTTTCTAGTTCCATCTATTTGCATGGGAATTTCATGATGCCCTTATTTTTAATAGCTAGGTAGTATTCCATTGTGTAAATATGGGTCACATTTTTTTATCCATTTTTTGATTCAGAGACATCTGAGCTGTTACTGGTTTCTGGCTGTTAAGAAATAAAGCTGCTATGAACATAGTTGTTGGGGTGATATTTAGAAAATGGCGCCTGGTCAGGCTTGTTATCTGGCAGCCACCATGTTCCGGCTGCTCCTCGGCTCTGACTGGGGCTCTGGCTGTGGCTCTGGCTACCTAGATGCGCAGGCCCTGGAACCCACAAGACACCAACCTGGGGGATGGCTCTGCCTATCGCCACGCTGCTGCATCCACCAGGAGTAGAGGAGTGTTTCCCTTGCTCCACATCCTTGCCAGCATGTACTGTCTTTTGAGTTTTTGATCTTAGCCATTCTGCTGTGTGTAAGATGGCATCTCAGAGTCATTTTGATTTGCATTTCCCTTATGATTAAGGACTTTGAACATTTCTCTTTTGTTTCTCAGCCATTAGAGGTCTCTCTGTTGAGAATTCTTTGTTTAGCCCTGGACCCCATTCTTTAATAAGGTATTTGAGTTGTTGGTGTTTATCTTCTTGGGCTGTTTATAAATTTTGGATATTAGGGTTGGTGGAAGATCTTTTTTTCTCGTTCTGTAGTTTGGTCTCATTGACAGTGTTCTTTGGCTTACAGGACCTTTTTAATTTCATGAGGCCCCTGTTGGAAATTGTTGATCTTAGTGTCTGAGCTGTTGGTGATCTCCTCAGGAAGTTGTCTCCTGTAGCAATTCATTTATAGCTATTTCCCATTTTCTCTTCTATTAGATTTAGTGTATTTGGTTTTATGTTTCGGTCTTTGATCCACTTGGACTAGAGTATTATGCAGGATGATAGATATGGATCTATTTGCATTCTTCTGCCTACAGACATCCAGTTAGACCAGCACCATTTGTTGAAGATACTTTCTTTTTTTATTGTATGGTTTGCCTTCCTTGTCAAAAATGAAGTGTCTGTAAGTGTGTAAGTTTATTTCTGGGTTTTAAATTCTATTCCATTTATCAGTCTGTTTTTATGGGAATACCATGTAGTTTTATTACTATTGTTATGTACTACAGCTTGAAATCAGGGATGGTGATACCTCCAGAAGTTCTTTTATTGTATAGGATTGTTTTAGCTATCCTGGTTTTCTTTTTTTGCATATGAATTTGAGAATTGCTCTTTCAAGGTCTTTAAAGAATTGTGTTGGAATTTTGATGAGAATTTCATTAAATCTTTAGATTGCTTTTGGTAAAATGGTCGTTTTTACTATGTTAATTCTATTGATCCATGAGGATGGGAGATCTTTCCATCTTCTGATATCATCTTCAATTTTCTTCAGAGACTTGAAGATCTAATCATACAGATCTTTCACTTGCTTGGTTAGAATTAAACCAAGGTATTTTATATAGTGAAGGGTGTTGTTTTCTAATTTCTTTCAAATCCTGTTTATCATTTATATAAAGGAGGGCCACCGAGGGTTTTTTTTTTAAGTTAATTTTATATCCAGCCACTTTGTGGAAGGAGTTATCAGTTGTAGGGAGTTCTCTGGTAGAATTTTGTGGTTCACTATGTATACTATCATATACTTTAATAGTGATGCCTTGACTTCTTCCTTTCCAATTTTAATTCCCTTGATCTCCTTTGCTTGTCTTATTGCTTTAAGTATTGAATTAATTGTAGTATTATATTGCTGTATATTGCCTTTATTGTGTTTATGTATAGGCCTTGTATCCTCAATATCTCCAAGACTTTTATTATGAAGGGGTGTTGAATTTTGTCAGAGGATTTTCAGCATCTAATGAGATGATCATGTGTTTTTTCTCTCTATTTTTTTGTGTGGATTACATTGATGAATTTTCATATATTGAAATATTTCTACATCCCTGGGATGAAACTTACTTTATCATGGTGGATGATGCTTTTGGTGTCTTCCTAAATTAGGTTTGTGAGTATTTTATTGAGAATTTTTGCATCAATATTCATAAGAGAAATCTGTCTGAAGTTCTCTTTTCTTATTGAGTTTTTATGTTGTTTAGGTATGACTCATACTAGGTATGAGAGTCAGGGTTACTGTGGCCTTATAGAATGAGTTTGGCAATGTTCTTTCTGTTTCTATTTTGTGGAATAGTTTTAGGAATGTTGATATTGTCTCTTCTTTGAAGGTAAGGTAGAATTAAGTGCTAAAACCATCTGGCCATGGGCTTTTTTATGGGGGGGAGGGCAGGGAGACTTTAAATAATACTTCTATTTCCTTAGGGGTTATAGGATTATTTAAATAGTTCACCTGATCTTTATTAACTTTGGTAAGTGAAATTAATAAAGAAAGTTATCCCTTTCATTTAGAATATCCAATTTTGTGGTATAAATGATTTTGAAGTAAAACCTAGTGATTCTTTGGATTTCTTTGGTGTCTATTTTATGACCCCCTTTTTCATTTCTGATTTTTTAAATTTGGATCTCTGCCTTTTAGTTAGTTTGGCTAAGGGTTTGTATATCTTGTTAATTTTCTCAAATAATGAGCTCTTGGTTTCATTGATTCTTTATATTGTTCTCTTTGTTTCTAATTGATTGATTTCAGCTTTGAGTTTGATTATTTTCTGTCCTGTACTCTTGTATGTGTTTGCTTCTTTTTGTTCTAGAGCTTTCAGGTGTACTTTTAAATCGCTAGTATAAGATCTCTCTAATTTCTTTATGGAGGCACTTAGTGCTATGAACTTTCCTCTTTAGCACTGCTTTCATTGTGTCCCAGAAGTTGGGGAAACACTCCATTGAGTGGAGTGTTGTTCAGTTTCTATGAGTTCGTAGATTTTCTGTTGTTTCTGTTGTTGTTGAAGTCCAGTTTTCATCCGTGGTGGTTTGTTAAGATACAATTTTCTTTTATCTGTTGAGGCTTGTAGCTCACCTCTACTGGCAGTACCCCAGGGGGACCTGGGAGGGCAGGGATCACGTGCACACAGTTTACATTTGGTGTGTACCATGTTGTGGAAACATAGCCCAGGATGAGAACAAGGTGCTTTTCGTTGACACAAGAGCCACAGAAGTCACATTGGTGCAAACAAGATAAGGCAGGGAACCCAAGGAGAATGTCAGCTTCCTGCTGTGAGAAAACGGGTGCTAAAAACCATTTATTTATTTTGAGTCTTTCTACTTTTAATTAAAACATTATCTCCTCAAATAAAATAACATAATTCTTCTTGTAATGATTTTCTGTGTTTTACACAAAGAATATCTAATGTATTTATGAAAGAAAAAAATAGCCTTCTCTGTATACCATGCCCAGGACCTTTTATTTATCGTGTATTTTAGTATATT